ATTCTATATATCTCAGTGCAGTCCCAGGAGTTTGTTAGACAAAGCAGTAGTGGCTGAGAGACTTGTGCTTACACTGTATAAGGTGCCAGTAGTTCAAGTACTAGGTGTAGGAAGGACATGGGTTTTTAGTGAAAATGGCTTCATGGGACAATGTAAGATTTATGGTTTATGACTGTTGGTGAGTATACAGGAAAGTTCCAACTGAAATAGACACGTTTAAAATTGGCACTGTCTCTGGTGTTTTGGTGGTACTTTGGAATAATACATTTATTTACCACAATGTGCAAGTAAAGTAGCTTCAATCATTAGGCTTCTTGGGTGTTCCAAAACAGCCCAGCATGTGCCTGTCTCGTTAAAATCTGCTTGGAGTGTGTAGTAACTACTAAGGATTGGGTAGAATTTGAACCGCTGAATAAGCTGATTGTTTGGCACAAGTGTATGTTGAGTATGTTGAAGGAACAAGTGCACAGGTAACAGATAATATTGTCACAAGCTTGTCACAATACTCTTAGGAGCCCTATTTTATTTTTTATGTGACAGTATCACCAAGCAATGAGCCCAATTTTAAAATTATAAAGTAAGTTCCTCTTGGCTCTGGCAGTCTTTTCATAGCTCTTAAAGGAGACGACCTTAGTGAATGGGCAGGGAGTTGCATCCTCAGAACCTGGCCGAGTGTAAACCTCAGCCAAAGCAGCCGCAGGGTAACCCTCTAAAGGAACCTGTATGTGTGGTTTCTCATCAATGATGCCTTTTAAAAAATGTTGGAGCCTTTTTAAAAATTGTACTCGTTTTCTCTTTGATTGACTTTCCTAGGCTATGTCACGGCTGTGTGAATACAAAGACCTGCATCAAGATGCCGCCGCTATGACAAGGGCCGTCAGCATGGATTTCATCGGCATTAGGCATACTAATGCCATCTTATCTTAAAGAGAGAAATTAGCATTATAAAGTCCTGGACTTGTCAACTATAGGGACTACAAAATATCACTTCTGCTGAAAAAGACCAGAAAAATTAGGATTTTCTTTTTTTATCTTTTTTAAAAAAATTTTTATTGTTGTTGTTGTTGCTGTTGTTGTTGTTGATTAGGATTTTTATAGAGTGGAGACTTCTTCAAATAACCACACTGTGAAGCTGGGTGATGGTGGCATGAACAGTGGGTGCCAGGTGCTACCTGCCCTTCTTGTTCCACTGAGTCCAGATGGCATTCCTAGGGCACCACCTTCTTGAACAACTCTTGGGGAGGAAGAGTGTCATATGGACACAGCACATCGCAGTTCAGAGTCCACAGTCACCCACAGTCCCAAGCAGGTGACAGTCTGAGCTGAGCTGGAATTCAAACAACTTTGGAATTGGCTCCAGATTTGTGAGAGTACCTGGGTTTGGATCTCTGTCCACTGAGGCACTGAATGCATGATGGCCCAAAACAACAAGTGTGGGAAGAGAGAATGGCATGGGGACAAGGCTGTCATTACTTCAAGTACCATGGGGGCTCAGGCCTGTTCATCAAGTCTTTGGAGAGAATCTGCATGTGAAATGAGGCACCCACATCATGGTTATAAAGGGAGAGATGAAATCGGTTCATCTTCCCCCAGGCCTATAATGGTCATGTCAAAACACAGAGTCTTGCTGTGTTGCCAGGCTGGAGTGCAGTGGCAGGATCTCGGCTCTCTGCAACCTCTGCCTCTGGGGTTCAAGTGACTCTCCTGCCTCAGCCTCCCAAGTAGCTGGGACTACAGGCATGAACCACCAACCCAGCTAATTTATATATTCTTAGTAGAGACAAGGTTTCATCACAGTGGCCAGGACAGTCTTGATCTCTTGACCTCATTCTGCCTGCCTCCGCCTCCATAAGTGCTGGGATTACAGGCGAGAGCCACCGTGCCTGGCCTCTTGCATTTACCATTCACAATAATGCAGTTTGGAATATCCCACTGTTGATTTATTATTTCCTCCTCCAAACATAATCTGTGGCCCTGTATACATAATTGAATATTTTTGTGTATTGATATTTTGTGTCTGAAGATGAAATATTAGATGAAACATGTTAAAACATTTCATGCAAAGCCTTCAGTGGTTGTAGAGTCTACTCTTTGGCGAATACACGAATTAATCTATTTTAAATATTAAAATTTTTATTAGATGTGATAATGATATTTTTTCTTTTATCTTCATTTGTTAGATATAGTTACTTACATTCTTCCATCATTAATGATATTGTATCTTATATTTGATGTAAAAAACTCCTAGAATATTTGGAATTGATCGTTGAAATTAAACTGCAAAATGAGATTTGCTAAAACCTAGTGATAATGTACTCATAATGGGTTTATTATCTATTATCTCTATCACTGTTAATTTTTAAAGTTTCCATGGAAAACTATACTAAGAACTTAAAATTTTCTATAAAACCCTTCATGCTCTGCACTTTAGCTCCAATGCATAATGAATAAAGGAAAATAAATTCTCCTGTGGGAATTCTGCTGGATTCTTCCTTTCTTTTCCCTTTAACCTGGGGGGGAGCATCTTGAGGTCACCATGGGGTGAGGTGACCATGAGTGGGGTCCCTAGAGCTGCCACTGACGGGAGTGTGTATGTGGAGATGGGTTTTGTGGCCACGTTTCTTCCTCGGGTCTTTCTGGTTGTGATGGGGGCTTTGAGGATGGTTTCTGAGGATCCCCTCCAGGGGAGTCCTCCGCCTGTGGTGTCTCCCTTGGGGGAAGGCCCAAGAATATCTGGAGAGGGATTCATAGGGTCGCCCCTGTGTGACAAAGGTGCCTTGTGCGTTTTAGGGGCGGTGGAGCCTCATCTCCCCTGTAGGGTGGGCAGGATGTCTGAGGGAGTGCTGAAAAGAAGCCCTGTGTGTTGGGGTCGCTGTGCAGTCTCAGTACAGCCCTAGACCTGGGGAAGTCATGATGGAGACTCAGAGGTGCTTGGGGCAGGGAAGGGGGCAGCCTAGGCAGTCACCAAGGTGTGACAGCATCGCTGATGCCAGGAGGCAGTTTTGGGAGGGGTCTTTGGAGGGGAATAATTGTGAAGTCCCCAAGGCTGGAGAAAGTGTGAGGGTGCTCCAAGGCTGGAGGTCAATGTGGGGTGGGTAGGAATAACCCAGGGGAGCTCTCACAGGAATAATGAGCCCCCCAGGGGTCAGGGGTGGAAGGAAGGGGCCTCAGCAGGTCCTGTCTTGCAGGGCCTTTCTGTAGGGCATCTGAGAGATGATCCCTGGGGCTCCTGAGGTCACCAGTACCCCAGGTGGGGTGTTTTCCAGGGTCAGACCTTTTTGGGTCCTGGAGCAAGGAAATGAAACTGGCTTCTTCCTCCCCTCTGCCTGGTTGGCGCTGGGAAAACTCCCTTTGGGGAGTCCTGGGGCTCCTGGGCGGGGAAGCGCCTTGAGCCCTGGGGAACAGATGGGCCACCCCTTGAAAGCCAGCAGCAGGAACAGGTGGAGCTATGCACCTCTGCATCCTTTTATTGTGGAATTGAAACTGGGTTTTCTTGGCGATGTGCAAGTCTGAGGGTGGGTCCGGCGTTTCCCCTGCTCCTTCTCTGCCAGACGCAGTGTTCATTGAAATCTGACCCCCTAAGCTGGCGCTGAGGGGACCGCGGCCTGGTGCAAGGTGACATCTAGGCTCCAGGGACTGTCAGGGGCCATCTGCACCCTGTGAGCACCAAGTCCACCCACCCCATAGCTCCTGTGCTGCAAGGAGGGCACCTGGCACCAAACGCAGACCCACAGCCTGAGATTTTGAGATTCTTTTTATTTCTGACACAGAGACTTGTTCCGGAACCAGCCACGCCAGGTAGGGATACAAACAGAAGTAATGAGGAGGGCTGGGAAAAAAGAAAAGAAAAGAAAAAGCAAATTATTGAATGTGGTAGTCATGAAATATGGGGTTTGTATTGGATTTCATTGTTACTTTGGGTTTAGAATGAGTGACTGAATGTAGTTTTAGGGCTGGGATAGGCAACTGTAAAGCTCCAGGCAACTGGGATCAGGAGGGTCTTGCTGACCTCCCTGTGCGATGGCTTTTTTGAGCTGTACTTGATAAGGGATATGCCCAACCCTGTGAGTACAGCATCACATTCCTAACACTCTGTGAGTCACAGCAGTCTTCTACAAATTAAAATCATTTCCTTTGCTTTTCTGACCTGGTTAAATGAATCAGATGGTTCCTGCCCATTAATACCCCTAGGTCAGTAACCAAACACGTGCCTGTTAGCTTGCTGCCTCCCTTTTCTTTATTATGCTTTGAACTGGACAAGAAATATATTTCATTTTTACAATGTGTGACTTGGGTTTCTGAAAGTTAAAAGTACCTTAGTGTATGTTGATATGTTTATTTTTAAAATGCTTTACTGGGGTCTACTTTGCATTCACTCTCCTTTGCCATGTCAGATCTAGACAACAATTTTATGTCTCTATACATGAGCCTATTATCAAAATGTCTAATACCCAGGATCATGAATTATGTGGTCTTTTGGGTCTGGTTCTTTCACTCAGCCTAATGATGTTGGGTTTCATTTCTGTGGTAGCGTGTATCATTACATCATTCCTCTTGGATGGCAAGTAGTGTTCTATTGCATGGACAAGACCACACGTTGTGAGCATTCATGTAAGAGTCTTTATGATTATAGGAATTTTATTTCTTTTGCATACTAACTTTGGGTTAGAGTTTCTGTGTCCTCTATTGATTTTATGTGCAACATTTTGAGGAATAGCCCCATTTTTGTTTTGTTTAGCTTTGTTTTGTTTTCAAGGTGGCTACAATATTTTACACTCCCATTTGCAGCATATGTGAGTTCCATATTCCTCACTTCTTTTCTAACATTTGTCATTGTACCTTTGCTATAGCCATTTAAGTGGGTGTTAGTTAATTAGTATTACTTGTTGTTTGACTTGTATTTTTTTTTACCAACGAATGAAACTGAGCCAATGGGCAAATTGTGTATCTTCTAAGGAAAATGCCTATTCAGTGATCACAGAACCTCTCTCCTCCCTCTAAATATCTGCCATTCAAAATCCCATGAAACACATGGGGGGGGCAGTGTTCAAGTTGGGGACACTGGGAAGTCCTCAGGCCACCCCTGCATGAGGGCTGCCCCAGGAGAGCAGGGTGAGCTTGTGAAGGCCCTGAAGCTCTGACAGCCCTGCCCACCTGAGACAGGGGCCCACTCAGAGGAGGTGGTCTTTCCAGCCGCCCCAATGCCTGGGTGTTCTCTAGAGACATTTGGGAGAAGGTTCTTTGCCAACAAGGATCCCTGCTAGCCAGCAGGCAGATGTGTGTGTGTGTGTGTGTGTGTGTGTACCAGAATTCTAGTGTTCATAGTGGAATTTGAAAATGAAAGTGTAAAGCTGAAAATTTAATCACACAGGATAACACACCTGCAAAATTAAACCACTGCATGATAACACTCTGCTCTGTGCTAGGTGGGTTGTTCCAGAATGCAGGGCCCTGGGAACCTGCCTCCCGACAGAGCCCTATACAGTGTGTGAGGCCTCATATGTGTGAACCAGGGCAGAAATTTGCTCAAGAGCACGGACCCGGACCCATCAGATGCCTCCAACAGGGCTGAGGGTAGCCCCTTGTCCTTCCTGAGCATTTTCACTGGGGCTGACCTGGGAGGTGCATGAGGCACTGGGGCTGGGAATTGTGCAGAAGTGCAGAGAGCATGGGAGCCAGGAACTGGTGAGGGGGGCGAGAAATAGGCCTTCCCACTGGAGGGGTCTGGGGAGGCACCCAGACCAGGACCACATTTGGGAAGAGAGACAACTGGCCCTGGATGTCCTTTTCTTGTGAAGACCAGCAGCTATGGGGCCTTCAGAAGGGCTTGAAGATGAACCCCCTCAGTTAGCACGCCACCTGAGCACATCCTTCCAGGGAGCCAGGAGCAGCTATGGTGTCCCCTGAAGTCCCAGATCTATGAGTGGAAGGTGGGACTCCCTGGAGGAGCAAGGAAGAGGCTCTTCAGAGGGGCGGAGGGCCACACTCTAGGAGGTGCGGTGCCTTCACGCTTGACCATTCCTGCATCCCTTGCAGTGCCTGAAAGTGCTCACCATAAGCAGCCAGAACCTACCTTCTGGGGACCACAAGAGGCATGGGGACCTCACATGCTTCTTTGTGATCATGGCTGAGGACTGGCAAGGCTGAATCATCAAACACACACCTGAATCAGTGGGTCCCTGCCAGCCTGCCATGACCCTCTGACATGCTATTGGTTCTGGGTCTGTGGGAAGACACTCAGCCACCCACTCAGTGACCACCGCTCTTTGTAGATGCATGACCTCTTATCACAACCCCAAATCTACCAGCAACTCTTCTGAAGCCCTTCCCTAGCAGAGCTGCTCAACTGGATCAGCTGGACCTTCAGAATCCACTTTGCAGGAATGCAGAAGAAAAGGTGGTGCGTGTGACTCTTCTGCCCTGCCTGTTTCATGCACGCAGGGGAAGGGGATGAACCAGCCAACCTTAACTCCAGCTGATGATCTGTCACCATCTCTCATCACCCCCAGATGGGACTGTCTAGTTGCAGGAAAACAAGCTCAGGGCTCCCTCCCGCTGATTCTACATATGGCGACTTGCATAATTATTTCATTATATATTACAGTGTAATAATAATAGAAATAAAATGCACAATAAATATAATGTGCTTGAATCATTCCGAAACCATCCCACTGCCTCTTACCCCCAACCTCTCCTCTGTGGAAAAATTGTCTTCCATGAAACCAGTCCTTTGTGCCAAAAAGAGTGGGGACTGCTGGCATAATGCATTTGAGATTCATTTATGTTATTTTTAGGTTTTTTTAGACAGTGTCTCACTCTGTCACCAGGCTGGAGTGCAGTGGTGCGATCTCAGCTCACTGCAATCTCTGCCTCCAGAATTTCAAGCAATTCTCCTGCCTCAGCCTCCTGAGTATCTGGGACTACAGGCACTCACCACCACACCTGGCTAATTTTTGTATTTTTAGTAGAGATGGAGTTTCACCATGTTGGCAAGGTGATCTCAAACTTCTGACCTCAATTGAACCACCTGCCTTGGCCTCCCAAAGTGCTGGGATTACAGGTGTGAGCCACCGTGCCTGGCTTCATTTATGTTATTGTTTGTATCCGTTCTTTTTAAAATTGCTGGGCAGTATATCATTGTATGGCTGTCCGACAGTTTGTTTATCCATTTCCCAGTTGAAGAACATTTGAGGTGGTTCCAGTTTTTTGGCAAAGATGATGGAAACTGCTGTAAATATTTGCATACAGGTTTTTGTGTGAACATACGTTTTTGTTTCACTTGGGTAAAATGAATACGTGGGATTGTTATGTCTGAAGGTGCATGTTTGACTTTATAAGAAATGGCCCTACTATTTTTCCAAGTGTCAGCATCATTTTGCATTCCCACCAGCAATGCAGAAGAATTCTGGTTGCTGTGCATTCTCACCAACTCTTGGTATTATTAGTTTTTCTTTCTTTTTTAGTCATTCCAATAGGGGTATAGCAGTATCGCATCGTTTTGATTTGTATTTACTGAATGATTACTAATGCTGAGAATCTTTACATGTGATTTTTATTCAGTCTGTATGCCTTCTTTGGTGAAGTGTCTGCTCAGATATTTTGCCTGCTTCTTTTTTTTTTTGAGATGTAGTCTCACTCTGTTACCCAGGCTGGAGTGCAGTGGCACAATCTTGGCTCATTGCAACCCCGTGCTCCCAGGTTCAAGTGATTCTCCTGCCTCAGCCTCCCGGGTAGCTGGGATTACAGGAACCCACCTGGCTAATTTTTGTATTTTTAGTAGAGACAGGGTTTCACTGTGTTGGCCAGGCTGGTCTCAAACTCCTGACCTCGTGATCCACCTGCCTCGGCCTCCCAAAGTGCTGGGATTACAAGAGTGAGCCACCACGCCTGGCCAAGGGCTCATTCCTTTTGAGGGTTGTGAAGGAAGGATTTGTTCTAGCTTCTCTCCTTGGCTTGCAGATGGCCATCTTCTTCTTGTGTCTTTTCACATCACCTTCTGTTTGTCTGTTTCTGTGTCCGAATTTATCTCTCTCTCTCTTTTTTTTTTTTAAATAAGGACACTGGTCATATTAAACTAGGGCCCACTGTAATGACCTCATTTTAACTTGCCTACCTCTGTAAAGATTCTATCTCCAAATAAAGTCATAGGCTGAGGTCCTGGGAGTCAGGACTCCAACATATCACTCTTTTAGTTCTGCCTATCGAAGAAGGGATGCCTTACAAAGAGGTAAGAGATTTGAGTTCCCCTCCTGGCTTAAGTCCTGGGAACCGTCCAAGAAAGATTACCCATACTATTTGTTCTCAAGAGGAAAAGCATAGAGACATATTTTGCTATGGTTTGTTTGTTAACCATGATAGTTGGTAAGATTTTATGCTCACCTGTACCCAAAAGAGAAAGGACTGGGAGGAAGTGTTGACTGGTTAGCTCTATTACCTTTTGAAGTTAAAACCTATCCTCTGCTCACCCTTGTCACTCATATTACCTCTTGTGCCAAATAAATACTTACAAATTATGGTAAAAAACATGTGAAATTTACCACCATATCTTTTTTAGGGGGGAAACAACTCAAACACCCTCAATAGGCTTCAAATTCCTCTAGTTTTT